TGCTGTAGAGTCGGTTCAACTCATAGCAACCCTGTATACAGTTTCCGAGGAGTGACTGGTGAGTTTGAAACACTGATCTTGTGGTTCAAAGCGACTTTGCAGACCAGTGCGTTAATTAGGGGTGAGTTAATTAAATGTTTAACCAAATATGTTGTTGTTGTTAAGTATCGTTGAGTCAGTCCCAACCCATAGCAACCCTGTATAGGATTTCCGAGGAACAGATGGTGAGCTTGAACAGCCCGAGTTTGCGGTTCAAAGGGATTTTGCAGTCCAGCACATTAATCCACAGCATCACACCAGGACTCCTGACAAAACACAGCAGGCTAATTTTTAATTTGATAATTTTGTATGGTCCACAAATGATGTTATAAATTTTGTAAGAAAAAGGTTCCCCACTCCTGGGATAAAGGCAAATACTGTTATACACACAACCCTGAAACGACAGTGTTTTAAGGATGGATACATGTACAGATACATAGGCTGGACGAGTAGAGGAGGGAGAAAGGGACTATACCCATAAATCCATACAGGCTTGACAAGATATTTGCACATGGGTATGTACCTTTACTGCAAACACACCTTTGAACATGGAGCATAAGTGGCAAAATAATGAAAACTTCTTAGATATTATCAAACATCTTAAGGCAATGAACTGCTAGGCCTGGGGGCTCTGTACCACATAGTTCACAACAACAATGTTCTACATCCTACTTTGGTGAGCAGCATCTGAGACCTTAAAAGCTCATGAGCAGCCATCTAAGGTACAACTATTGGTCTCTCCATGTTTGGAAAAAAAGAAAAGTGATGAAAAATTGAAGATACTTAGAATCAATTGGCCCAATAGGCCAATGGAACATGTGAATATCAGTTACCAACCCTCTGAGACTAGATGAACTAGATTGTGCCCAGCTATCACAACCAACTGCTCTGAAAGAGATCACATTAGAAAGGGGGAGGATAGAGTGAGTGGGAGAAAATGTGGAACAAAACTCATAAGAAAAGAAAACCAAAAAAAAACAGCAGACTTATTGGTCAAAAAGACACTAGCAAAACCCAAGACTATGGCCCTCAATCATCTTTCAGGTCTAGAACGGAACTCACCTTCATGGCCCAATTTTCAGCCAAGTAGCAATTAGTTATATAAGAGGGGTGACAACAACACTAATAGTATATGTTCATCATAGAAGGGTCAACCAAACAAGACCAAAAGTGCAACACTTACCTAAGAATAAAACTGAGAAGGGATATGAAGGAGGATAGAATGGAAATAGGAACTACACAGAGGAAGTGGAATAATTGTTGCATGGAAGTGATTGCAATAGTTGAGATGAACTGAAGTGTATGATTTGTTGAATGTAAAACTGGTCCATCTTGTCTGTAAACCTTCACTCAATTCACAATAAAAACTTTCAAAAATAGATATTCAACAACAAGCGTGATAGTTTGGCAAGTACATACTTTTAATCACCACTTCACAAAATAAAAAATGTTGACAAATTTCATAAGTTCACAAATCTATTACCAGGGAGCATCAAGCCTAACCCCTAGTATTCTGACTCCAAGGGTTCCTTCCATTTCATTGCATTTTGCCACCGCCTACGAACAATCTACAAAAACAATGTGCCACACAAGAAATAGTTCCTAGCATCATGCTGACAAACTACGGTACTATTAAAACCAAAATAATGCTGTCTTCAACAATTTACAAGGAAAAACTTTCCATAGGACGTGAAACATGCTACCTAGAACCTGACCTACAATTTCTTAAAAACGCATTACTGTAAGGGTTGGAAATGTAAAAGGAGGCATTTTGTAGCAAAAGGAAGGGAGTGATTGACTTTGCAGTCCAGGAGTAAAGGTCCCTGGGACCATCAAGGGAGAACAGCGGAGTGAGGGACCCTACCCAGAGAAACAGTGATGCCAGAGATGGAGGCAGAGACGATGAAGTAGAGAGATGGAGTGGCTAGGGACTCTGGACCCAGAGAGAAAGAGGGCCTGTGTGCTGACAACCAGGTGGCAGGCTTGCAGGGTATACCCTTTGGTTGGTTTGATTGTAACCATGGCAATGTTACGATATATGATAGGATGAATATAAAGCTGATGTTTTCCCATGTAAACTATCACTCAATTCATTATAAAAACTTAAAAGAAATGCATTACTGAGTATAACCTTCAAATAGTACATTACTATCTGAACAGCTTGTTCATATACTTTGAATAGATCAATGACAAATCATCAACAATACTGGGAAACTATTATTCCAGTTATATGACTTTCTTTTAATAAATTGATATTATCACTTTTAGATAAATAAAATAGGACTAAGAGTGATTATGGGTTTTGCAAATGAAAATCACAGTTTACTATAGAAACAACTTTTAGGCAAGAGGCTTTTGGAAACAAACACAAAAATCTTCTAGCAACTTAAAAAAAAAAAAAGTTTCACTTTAGCTATTTTAACACCCAGTAAACCCAAAAATCCAGATGACTCATCTTGCAATAAATCAGCAGTCACAGAAATATGTTTGCTACCTCAAATTACCCTGACTGTTCAAATGCCTATGTCAGATACACGGATAAATAATAAAGTTAAATTACTACCTCACATATTTTTCACCATATGCTCTTTAAATGAGAATGGCATTCTTGAAATAGTATAAGCATTAACATTAAAACAAACACATCAATAGAGCAGCTTACGCCTCCTTAAAATAAAAGCACAGGGCCCTGGTGCAAAATGGTTAAAGCACTTGGCTGCCATCCTAAAGGGCAGAGGTTAGAAGCCACCAGTCATTCTGCAGGAGAAAGACGGGACAGTCAGCTTCCACCAAGATGTCGGCCTGAGAAACCCTATGAGGAAGTTCTACTCTGTCCGATAGAGTCACAATGAAGCAGAATCAACTCAACAGCAGTGGGTTTGGGCTTTGGTAAATAAAAGCACACAAATGTGAATATATAAGCTTTTGTTGTTAGGCACCATCAAGTACATTCTGATTCCATGTATTTGTTGCTGTTGTGTGCTGTTGAGTCAGTTCTGATTTGTAGCAACTCTGTATAGGGTTTCTGAGAGCAACTGGTGGGTTTGAACTGCCAAACTTGCAGCTACCAGTTCAATGCTTATCCTACAACACAACACCAGGACTCACAGTGTCACTATATATATACAACAGAATGAAACACTGCCTGGTTCTAAGCCATCCTCATATTCACTGCCATGTTTGAGCCCATTGGTACAGCCACTGCAGCAATTCATCTTATTGAAAGTCTTCTTCTATTTCATTGACTCTCTACTTTACCAAGCATGATATTCTTCTCCAAGGACTGGTCCCTCCTGATAACTTGTACAACGTATGTGAGACAAAGTCTTGCCTTCCAACTTTAAGAAGCATTCTTGCTATACTTTTTCTAAGACAGGTATATTCGTTCTTCACAAATACCACAATTAAAAAGCATCAGTTCTTCTCCCATCTTCCTTATTCACTGTCCAGTTTTCACATGCAACTTGTAGACATTGCAACTCACTTTTCCATTCAACATTAAAACACAAACACAAAAATAATTAAGAAAGTAACATTCATACTCTGTTTCTGTTTAAAAATATCAAATCTCAGTGCTGAAAGGTTACTCCATCATTTGGGAATAATTTCTAATAACAATTTAGTTTTAGATTTAATTTTCTGTGGCACTGTAGGACAATGCACTGTATAGCAAGGTCAGTCTGAATCACAAGCTTGGTAGTTCAAACTCACCAACCGCTCCTTGGGAAACCCTATACAGGGTTGCTATGAGTCGGAACCAACTCGACGGCACTTAACAACAACAACGATTTAGCATTTAGTTATCAGAATTGCATTTTATCCTTTCATTTTCAGTGAAGCCATCTGTAAAAGCAAAAACTAAAGGGGTGAAATAGGAAGAGTACAAGGCTATCAACCCCCCACCCCACTCCCATGGAGCCCCTACATTCATTTTCATTCAGTGGTTCACAAACAGGACTAAACCCATAATATGGAAAACACAATCTTCTCAACTACATCACTGTCTGCATTCTTTTGGCAACCAGAATTAAAGCATACCTTCCCCCTGCAATCCTCAGCTCTGCTGCAATACAGATCTGGGCCAGTTTCAGAGGCCGGCCTATCAAATCTACCCATTCCTTCTTTAGTATTTCATCAGTCCTACAAAACAGCAAACTCTTCACGTTGTATTTTCCTATACTATTTAGCTAACACCGTATTTTAACTTTTTGTTTTTCCAAAACAAACTAAACATAGGCCATTATCACTTAAGTTTCAACGCTCCCCCACCCTCGCCCCTTCCAAGATCCACACACTCCTTTCTTTCTCTTCACTGCCAATCCCTGTGAATCAGTCCCCAAACCCCAGTAATTACCACTATGTAACTTCTTGGCAAGAGTCCTTTTTGGCTTTACCCGCACACTTACTCTGAAGATATCCAATTCCAATGCAAAATGCAAAGTCCCACTTCTCAATTCATTGTCAACATACCTACTTTGCGGATTCTGAACAGACTCCTAGCTACTTACCTTTTTGGATCCACTCTCATCCCAAGTCCGAATCTCCTCCTATACGACTTGCCTTCCAAGTCTTGACAACCTATGTGCCTGACAGCTCGTCGACCTCCTCTATCCATCAGACCTCCAAAGTCTCCCTCCCCACTGTCCTCCAACTTTCTTCCTGCTGGGACATTCTTCCACTGCCCTTAGAGCCTCAGCTTCCCCTATGACTATTCCCCAACCCGGCCGCCCCCTGCCCGGCCTCATCGTCCCCTCTCAAGGTAACCAGAACCCCTAGTCCTGCAGGCCCTGGCGCTTGTCCTCATCCCCATCTGTGGTCCTGGCTCCCCGCACCTGCTATCAGGGTTCCCGGCTTGCAAAAATAAAAAACCAAGCAGTTCCTCTTCCTGTGGGGTACCCCTACCTCAGGCCACTTCTGTCAACATCCAGTCACCCGTGCTTCGCCGGGGTACCCCAACTCACCCCCGCCTCCGCCATCTTCTGGGACCAGCCCCGCCCCCCACTCCGCTTCTTCCTCCTCCCCTCCTCCAACTCCGCCCGAGTTTCACTGCGATCGCGCTCCCGCGATAGGGGCAGACAAGCTTCCGGTTTGTGCGTGCAGTTGTCTGTGAATCAGCGAATCGGGGCAAAAGGGTTTCCGGTCGCCAGGAAATTGAGACTAGCAGTAGACGTAGAACGTCTTTATGGTGGGAGGCTGTCAGATCAGCTGTTGTTTGCTTCTGACCAAACAATCTTGTATTGTGACGGGTGCCTAGACACCGTGGGCGGTGTCAGAGGATCGCGCACGGACACACGTACACCCTCCGGAGAGGTGTGGCCCTTTGCTTGTCGTGGCCCACTGCATGTAGCTCTCCCAAGAGCTCTGGAACGCAGACCGCCTGGTCTTCCTGCTACGTACACTAGTTCTCAGTATAATTGTGCTTTGGCAGGACTTTGCTCTCTGCCCTTTTCCTTCCCATACTTAGGCATAATGCCTCTTGGGAGAAGAATTATAGTTGACACTTCTCTCATCTGCATTCCACAGGGCTTCATGCGGTTTTTATTGATTATTAATCTTTCCCCAAGGACAACCAGGTGATGTGGTTTGGGGGCAATAGGAAGGGTTTTAGATGTTTCCATCAAAGTAGAGAAATTACAAAATCTTATAACACCTTATCAGAAGTAATACTATAACCATTACTTTCTGTTGACTCTGAAACCGTGATTTTAGAACATGGAAAAACCCGAACAGATCCTTGAACTTACGCCATGATTGAAAGTGTACATTGGTACATAATATGTAAATATCAAAGACCATTAAAAGATTTCCTTCTCAGAAAAATAGGAAAGCAAATCTTAAATAAAATAAAATCCATCTTGATTTTATTTTTTAGGTAGCTGGTATCACTTTTTTAGGTAGCTGGTGTGGTGCTGTAGGTTAACGCGTTGGACTGCAAAGTCGGTTTGAACCGCAAGATCGGCAGTTCAAGCTCACCAGCTGCTCCTTGGAAACCTTATACAGTCAGGTCGGAACCGACTCGACAGCACTGAACAACAACAACAACCTATAATTTATTATGAATGTGGTCAGGTTAGAATGGTCCTAAAGAAAGTTTTAGATGAAGTTTGATCTTAAAACAATTGCTTCACATTTTTACAAAGGAGTGAAAGACGACGAGGATTCTGATTTCTTTTACTTTGAACTTATAAATTATAAGATGGATTTTTAAAAATATTTCTTAACTGCTTATAAGCACATTGATTTTTGAAAACTGAAGAAACTAAATGTGTGACTAAAGGTGTCTAGGCAAGTATTTATAAGGCGCTTCTTGTTCTAACAGTTCCTTTAGCATTTAAGTTTCTCTCCTACAGATTTTACATTACCAGTAAAAAATATCTGGGCCAATTTATATTGAGTGGTTAAGGAATTTTTTTTTTAAGACAATAACTTCAAAATGTCCTTATATCATGATTTTCTTTAAGGCTCACATATACTTGTGGGACCCAGCTTTTTCAAACATTTAGAAGTTAT